CAAGATCGTCCGATAACAGTTATATATAAATTTATATATACTTCCATAGTAACATTTTTTGTAAAAAAAAGTTTGTTGTTGTAGTACACACCCTAGAACGATGAAATCGTAAAAAAAATATATGCCATTCGATTTCTACACTTCCAACTTAAAGTTCTATATAGATTTTTATCGTGCACAAGATCGTCCGATAGCAGTTATATATAAATTTATATATACTTCCATAGTAACAAGTTTTGTAAAAAAGAGTTTGTTGTTGTAGTACACACCCTAGAACGATAAAATCAGGAAAAAATATATGCCATCCGATTTCTACACTTCCAACTTAAAGTTCTATATAGATTTTTATCGTGCACAAGATCGTCCGATAGCAGTTATATATCATTTTATATATACTTCCATAGTAACATTTTTTTTTTTTTTTAAAAGTTTGTTGTTGTAGTACACACCCTAGAACGATGAAATCATAAAAAAAATATATGCCATCCTATTTCTACACTTCCAACTTAAAGTTATATATAGATTTTTATCGTGCACAAAATCGTCCAACAGCAGTTATATATCATTTTATATATACGGCCATAGTAACATTTTTTATTAAGAAAAAAAGTTTGTTGTTGTAGTACACACCCTAGAACGATGAAATCCGAAAAAAATGTATGCCATCCGATTTCAACACTTCCAACTTAAAGTTCTATATAGGTTTTTATCGTACACAAGATCGTCCGATAGCAGTTATATATCATTTTATATATACGGCCATAGTAACATTTTTTGTAAAAAAAAGTTTGTTGTTGTAGTACACACCCTAAAACGATGAAATCCGGAAAAAAATGTATGCCATCCGATTTCTACACTTCCAACTTAAAGTTCTATATAGGTTTTTATCGTACACAAGATCGTCCGATAGCATTTATATATCATTTTCTATATAAGACCATAGTATTATTTTTTCCACGTGCATAAACCAGCCAAGCGCAGAAAGAGAGACGTGAAGAAACTGTTATTTTAGTGTTGAGAAAATACTAAAAAAAACACTTAGAAAAAATATTGCCTAATTACGCTTGTTATGATCAAATTTCATAACAAGGAAAATAGTAAATTTTACAGATAAAACATATTCAAAGAAAAGAAAAATATATATTTCTTCACAAAGATAAAGTTTTTTATTTAAAATGTGTAAAAAAAAAAGAATTATAAATACTGTTTTTATGTGTTTTCATTTTTATGCATTAATAAAATTGTTTTGGAGTGTACGAGTTTTTTGCAAGTAATTCTCTTGTTTACAAATTGTGTTGTTGTTTTTACAAATTGTTTTTGCAATTTTTGAAACAAAGCGATATCAACCTACATTGTTGAATGCTGTTAAGCAACTGAAGATCATTTTTTGTATTTTTACGCTCTTGCTATGAGTTTTGTTTACGATCGGGTAGTGTACGTGTGAATTGCCGAAAATCTTCGTAATTTGAACAATATGAACGAGCAACGCTGGCATAAACACATATTGAAAATGTAAATAATGAAAACGAGTTTTTGCGTCTTTTCCACGTGCAGAAAAACATATTTGTAAACAAAAAAAAACTCACCACACCAAAAAAAATTTTATTTTGATAAAACAGCTGTTACGGTTTGTTTTATTTTTCGTCGGGTTGTTTTATTTATGTGCGTAATTTAATATATGATGAGCCATTGGGCGACAATTGTCTCTCACATTGAATTGAAACTAAGGCAGAAAAACATTAACATTTTGAGTTTAGTGCTTTTTGTTTTTTATACCCTTCATCTACATACATATGTGAATACGTTTTGTTTGCTTGTTGTAGCAAATAGTAAAACACTGGAAACAACAACGTTTAGCATGTGTGTCTGTTGTTTTGTTGTTATTTTTGCCACAGTCAGGCAAGCGAAACTATTTATGAATGAAACTCGGATTTTTTTTAAATTAAAGAAAATAATTTAAAAAATATAAATGCTATAGCCGAAAATAGCGCTCTTAAGGTGGAAGTACACAACACGTGTTGAGGCGGCAACGCGTTTCACGCTTTTCAAACTTTTCGCGCTTTTTAAGACTATTACTTTTTTAAAAATCAAAAGTTTAAGTTTCTGTATATTTTTTAATATTTTGGTTCTATTGTAGGAGAAATTTATTTCATTTTAGTTTATTCTTATTCTACACAAAACAAAACACAATCCTGATCAGCTGCCGACGCGTCAAAAGTTGAAAGTTGCTGACAGTCGTAATTCAGGTATGAATTGGGGAACAACTCTCGCGTCATCGCCATTATTTCTTAAGGACGATCAGGCTTGTGTTTATTGCCAAGCTTTAGACAGAGTTACTTCTCACTCGCACCAATTGAATGTATTACTCCGTATAACTGTTTCCAAGTTATGCGTTGTTTGCATTAATTGCGTGCATTCGTTTTACTACCTCCTTTGATTATGATTGATTAAATTGGTGGAGACCAAATACTTTTGATTAATTAATTGTTCCTATATAAAGTTATAGGTCGATTGGAGGGCTCTCTCCGAACCAACGTGGGATAACCTGGCATTTTGAGTGTTTTAAGTACACCGCCAACAAATTACAGAAATAAAAAAGCAGCTTTTCGCGGCAGACGCGTTACAAACTACAATGTGTAACTTGTTAAATGAAAATACACTATTTCAACTTTTTTGACAGAAGCCTATAACGCGTTGCCGCGTACAACGCGTGTTGTGTACTTCCACCTTTACTTTTTTATTTCTCACTCTTTCAGTGTACAGAGAAGCCAAGGGCAAGAGTACGCTCACATTGAATTCGGCTCAGAGGTGCGTAAGTTGAAGGAATATTCTAAGATATAGGGAAGCACTTATAGATTTAACTCCAATTAAACGTCTAGATGATCTCGTTAGGGAATGGAAGGTTGCAACAGACAATTGCGAATATAATTTGCCACTATCATAGAATACAACGTCTCAGGTTAAAAATTAACGCTTGTATTTATAAAAAAATCTTTTTTTGCTTTTAATGCACTCAATAGTTAAAGCACACTTTAGCCTTAAAAACCAATTATAAAATTGTGATATTCATAAACAAATAATAAACGTATATTAACTATTGTGTTGATTTATGTTTAAGTTGGCAGCACTGTACAATATGGCTGTCATTTTATGTGTTAGTGTTGCGTACAATTAGGATAAAATATTCGTTGATTCGGTTTTCTTAATTTCATATTTTTGTTTATAATAGATTTTTGACAATAAAAACAAACTTTTAAGAAAAATAAATATATATATGGCTTTAATAAATGTCTATTTAGTTCAGATGTATAAATATAACATATAATTTCTAATTATTATTAAAAGTATCCGAATAACGGATATTTTGCGACAAAATATACATCACTATGACACATTTTCTTATTTTTACTTATTTTCCTTGTAATTTTTGATAAATTTTTGCAAATATTGATAAATTTCTTTGATATTTGACTAATTTTAATGCCGGCGAATATATTTTGCATTAGTATAACACTAATCAATATAATTTACATGGTTAATTACTTTATGGCATTATATTTAACCAACGAACTTTGAAAAAGCCAAATCAAATGATTTTGTCCATCATTTGGTTGACAGACGGGCACTTCCAAATTGCCTAAAAATAGTGCTGGACAATTGGAATATTGTCAAATATTCATGCATTAATCCAAAAATACCTAGATTTGAGTTTTTTCCTCAAAATATAATCGTTTAAAAATTTTCTGGGATTTTATTTACAAATTTGTAAACGTTAAAATTAGAATTTTTAGATTTTATTTTAAAAGAAACCATAATTAGTTTTCGCAATCATCCTAAAATTACCGGAAAAATCTTTATCTGAGAAAAAAATTTTTAAAAATCAAGTTATTGTTGGCTTAAAGAAGGGTCGAGCCTACAATAAAATTCTTCTAATTGTCAATGGTTTATTGAAGGTGTTTTAAGCTATTTCACGTTTATAAATACGATTTTCCTGAATTTTGCCTAAAATTGTTTAATAAACCTAAAATAAGTTTTTATAAATACAGCCGTAAGTGTTTTGTGTCTCTATCTTTGGATATTAATTTTCTGCGTGGGGAATCACAAAGGACCTTACGGTTTCCAAATTGGAATTGTCCTTTTTTGTATATCCTTTCTTTCACTACTAGAAAATCAGTTTTTAGTCAATAAATAGCATATGTGTATAGCAGAAGAGCGCGATGACAACCGAAGTACCAACCCCGACGAGCCACGCTGAATCATGACATCAACAGATTGGTAAAGGAGGACAAGCGGAATAAATGGTTAGATTATCTGAAGAACTGCAACTTGAGCTCAGAAGTTGAGAATTAGTGATCTACAGTTCTGTCTCGACGAAGAAGGATGACACCATACCACCCTGAACGGTGCATTTTGCTGGCTTTTTATTGAGCATCAAGAGATAGATAAGGCGAAACCAAGTGTTGTTCGCAAGCTCTACAACCTTCCAGTCTCTGATATTCCACAACCCTACTTCTTCATCCTACACTTCAGCATTAACCCCCATAACCATTTAGATCTCACGAGGCGTAAATCAACAGAAGGCTAGCGAAAGGTCACTAATAGTGGCGAAAGGTCACTGATAGTGGCGCTGGACTTGTCGATGTCCTTCAATACAGTCAGCCATATCACACTCTTCCAGGTCGTCTTCCAGTCCACCATGCCCATTATAAATTATCTGAGTGCTTGTCCTATTCCCCCTACTGTTTAACATCTACCTCTCGGACGACAGTCAAGAATAAAAAACAAAAAAATATGAACCCAAAATTATAACTTGTTGCTATAAAGTTTTTTATTTCTCTATCTTTGGATTTTCACTTTCTACGAACCTCACCCTTATTCTGCATTTTATTACGTTTCAATGCTTTACGATTGCTTCGAATCGAAATGCAGAATACCAAAGTTTTAATTATACCTACCGGTGTAGGGTTTCTTACTTGTTTACCATAAATAAAATTTTTAAATGCCTTTAATGAATTGTGTTTTAGTTTAAAACATAATCTTTATTGACTTTGGAACACTTTTGCTAAGCCTTGGGTAAAAAAAGACAGAAATGTTTAAATATTTATATACATATTGTAACATAAATAAAATAAAATTAGACTTTAATTATAGTGTTTAAATTTAGTAATATGATTTAATTTTCATCATATAGCGGAGTCGAATCACCTAAATTCATAGAATGTGGGGAAGTATTTGTGCGTGGAGTGCTACGTATGGATCTAGGACTTTTTTGATATTCGACAACTCTAGGTCGATGGTCATCCACATACTGGTGAGAAGCTTGATGAGAATAATCATTGCCTGTTTGAGGCATACAATAATTTGAAGATCTAGTGGAATCATTTGTAAAAGTACGCGTAGGTGGCATAACGGGACGTTTTCTTCTAGCCCATGAATCCGATGCTATTTTCCATTCGAGACTTTCGTTGTTGTTGCGATGAGAACGATTATTTTTACTATGGGAGTTCATGTCTATACTTCTTGGAGATGCTCCATGATAAGATGTGCCTTTTACATTTTTCATATTATGCGACTGATGTCCGTAATTAATGTGCGAAGTTGCGGAACTAGGACTTGGGGTAGTATTGCCATATCGAGGAGTTTGTGATGTGTGTGGAGTTGCGTAGGGTGTCATAAATGGTGTTTGGCCACTAGGAGTATAGGGAGTATTTACATAACCTCCGTGGTATCCTGGCGTACTTGAAAAATGCGGAGTATGAGCTGCAATACTTTGTGACATATGTTGAGATGAAGACTTCGAATCGTTGTTTCTTGGTGTGTCGTATCCCGCACTTATCCGCACACTCGAGTTAGTATGGGGTGTAGACATTGGTGTATTCGATACAATTGGATCGGAATAATGATCTTTAAACCATTTTAAAAAGCCGTTTAACGAGTCAAATACTTGCCCTCTAAATCTATAACCTTCTGGTACAACAGTTACATACTCATGACGGCATTTTGTTTTTGGCAAATATGATAGTAAAAATTTTCCTGGGTAATTTTTTGATGCAGATATAAAGTAATGAATCTTTCTTGGGTCTTTTAATTTTTCTTCTTTTAGGAGCTCTTCCATTTTATCTTTTAAGCCGCCACCTGTATCACGATAATATTTGTATGTCAATAACTCACGAGCACAAGCAGCCATTGGGTTTACATGTCTCGCGATAATTTCATCCAAGTCTTCAAATTCGTCATTTCCAATAAGTAAACTCTGTCCTAAACTAAATGCATTTTCTTTACCCTCTTCTCTCACATCTATGTGCTGATAAATATCGTTGGTAACTTTCCAAGTAACAGTTAAATGATCTGAACCTTTACTTGATGGCCGTACAACTACTTCACCTTGATCCATTGATTCCATTATTTTTAAAACTTCAGCATAAGATTTATTGTGAAAGGATGGATGTATAATAACTCTTTTAACGTATTGTTGTTTGGATCGGACCTGTTTCTGATCAGTTTCCTTTGCATTGTCTTTTTCTTCTTGTTCATAGTCGTAAAATGCATCTCTTCTCGGGCGCCATTCGTGATTTTTGTCCATTAAATCTGAACTCTTAGACGAACAGTCAACTGAAAAGCGATCAACGTCAATTTTAATAATTCTAACATGAATTGCTTGACCAGATTGAACACGATCTTCTGGATTTTTTACATGTTTATCAGATAAGTTCTTTATATGAATGAAACCAGATATGCCATTGTCAAGGCGTAATTTAACTCCTGTCGCTTGACCTGGACATGCTCCAGCATCAAAATGATTCCAAACTTCAGACAGCTCAGGGAAATCATCTTTAAGACAGAACGGACATTGCCAATTACCGGTTTCATCATTTCTAACTGGATTTGCTTGATCGAGTTGTTCGCCTTGAGGCTTACGGTGTGAAATGCCTGCAACAGTTGCCAACACCATTTTACCAACATAAAATGATTCTGGTGTTTCTTTAGTTAACATGTCAAATAATTCTTCAGAGTTCGGTGAACGGTATGGAACTCGAAAATCTTTATATAATGAATTCAATTCCGACCTTATATCGTATAATGTTATACTTTTGTTTCCAAATCCCTGGCGCTCTAATTCTACAGCAAACGCGTCGAGATCGAGATCTTTCAATCTCTCTGGACTTTCAAGAATTTCTTCAAGAGCCCCGGCAGGATTAGTTTCTTCGTCATCATATTCCATTGCATCTATTGCCATTTTTCTGGCCCATTCATATGTTTCCGGATGTACTCTGGAGCCGTCAAGTACTTCAACGTACGCTTCCGTACTGTCGCCTAGGGAACTAGTATCAATTTTAATAAAACCAGAGCAATTTATAAAAACTTTTGGTCCTAAATGACACAATGTTACAAGTTGTGTTCTATTCTCTAGTCTTTGGTTAGACTGTTTAAGTATTTTTATTAATGCAGCTCCTTTTCTGGGACCTAATCCACATATAAATTGAACCAAATTTAATGTGTACGAGTTTTGTACTGCCATATTTATGTCTACACCTACTTCATTGGTTTGATTTATAAATTGAATGTAAAGATGTTCTAATAGTTCTTCTTTACTCAGCTGGTCTTGCAATGAGTGATAACGCAAACATAAAATTTCTTCATCAGCTCCACAAAGTTGGGAGTATTCTAAAAGTGGATCTTGAATTTTTCGAGATAAAGAAACTGCTTGCTTTAAAAGTGTTGGATATTCTTTAAAGTCAGATGCACCCTTTTGAGAATTTGCATAAATCTTTGCAAGTTCATTATCAACAATTTCGACCGCAATTTCAGGGAATTGTTCTTCATCGACGAGTTCCTTGATGATTTCCCGTATATCACTTTGAATCATTTGAGCCTCCCTAGATTCACCGCCAATAACTACAACATGCGGTTTCTTATTACGAATAAATTCTTTAAGATTTCTAATATCTGACATTTTTAATGATTTCTCCTCACTTCGGTATGAATTTTTTCGTTTGAGTATGTGTGGCAAACGTAAGTAATCGCTTACATCACCTTCTGGATTTGTTATTGCACAAAAAGCAGCCTGAGAATAATCGGGGACATATGCAAGACCCAATGCACGTATTCCTTTTACTGAACCCCAATCATCAAAGGTATAGTCATCAGAAATTTCAGGTTTGTAGGGAGCAACTCTCAGCCAGTTCGCTAATTTAGTACAACAAGACTTTAAGACATATTCCTTTGCTTCGGCCAAAATAATAACTTTTAATTCTTTCTTTAAGTCTGGTATAATCATTTTTTTAAGTGCTAATTCAACACATTCAGCTCGAATGGAATTCCAATCTTGTACGACTTTAGAAAATTCATCACGTTGATAAAGTTGTTTTGCCTCGTCAATATAAGAATTTGAAGTGTTTCCTTCAATTTCATCGGCTATGTTGATGGTAATAAGATTATCTTCTTCAGCCATAGTTAGTCTGAGGAACTGGTCTCCAACTAAGTCTCTGATAGGTTTATTTGACAAATATTTCATTGGGTAACAGGCATGATTCTCATCTATTTCTTTCATTCCTTTTTTGGTGGGACGAACGTTAAGTTTTGCTCTTTCAAAATAAACTTCTCGAACTGTTTTTCTTAAAAGAGGCTCCCTGGAAAGCTGACGAGCAACAACAAACTTTGCAGCATGTATGATTTCATCAATTGTCATAAATTTAGGACATAAATATTGTTTTGCCAAATCAGTTGGACATATCTGTTGTTGATCGACTTCATGTCTCTGGTATCCGTCTCGTACATTTTCGGCAAACTGTTCCGGGAACAATCCAAAATGTTTGGCAAAACCGCAAATACCAGCCTTACGACACATTGCATATGGTCCGGAATCTTTAGCTTGTTTTAAGTGTTCTTCAAGAACTTCAGGCTCATCTTCGCTATCATTGTCCGAATTAATTTCTTCTGATGGCTGCTCGCTATTTTCCATTTCTTGACGTCTTTGTTCTCGTCTTTGTTGTTTTCTCAGTTCTCTTTCTTTTTTCCTCTCTTCCTCTTGCATTTTTGGTATTTCATGAGAATAATACAAAAGAAATTGCATATGAACGTCCTTTAATTCTTCCATACTTTGAACGTCACGCAAACGTTCCAAATCATCATCTTTAATTAGGCGAATATCTTCAGGCAAGTCACTTTCTGTTTTCTTCATTATTTCACTGATTTGGTAGTTGCGCATTTTCTCGAAAAGTATTAATAGTTTATTTTTCCTATTAAGTAGTTGGCACCAGCGTTCATCATAGTAATAAATCTTCCATAAATCATCGGTTGTTAACTCTGGCTTAACGTACTCCTTGCGATAAAATGATATAAATGGGACTTCTAATTGCTGGTTTCTAATAAATTCTAAAGCTTGCTTGATCTTCCCTATCGCACTAGGTGGTTTTTTATTTTTTTCCCGATTTGATTCGCCTTTATCGTTTTGCGATACTGGTGGTTTACAGAAAGCATGCTTATATATCCATTCCGCTTCATTGTCTAGCTCGGACGATCCTTCAGGAACTGAAGTTACAGGTATTTGCCTTAATTGCATACGTTCAGGAATATCAGTTTTTCTAATCTCATTATCAAGATCTGTAAAGTGACCCCTTTTTAGTTCACTCGGTTCATATAAGTCGAAAATTGTTTTTTTCGGAAGTTTTTTTGTTAATTTTTTCTTAACTCTTCCTCGATCATCCTCTCCTGCTTCCTCATCATATTCTTCTCCATCAGAATCATCCTCATATTCGTCTTCCTCGTATTTAGAAAAGTCGTCATAATCAAAGTCAACCCCAAAAATATCCTGTCCTTCTTGGAGAGATCTGAAAATATATGAGTTAAAATTTTTATTTTGTAATTTTGTTTGATCACAATAAATGACAGTAACAATTAAGTTTTATTCGGGGAAAATATGGCGAACAGAACATACTATTGGCTATTAAAACATTTTCTGCAAATACCTAGTGTCAATATATTTTGAGTTGAAAGTATAAAAAAATTAATTTGGCATGTCGAAAAAATCATTACAAAAAATATATTGTTTTGTTTACATTATTGCATTAAAATATCAGTGGTTTGTTTGAAAATATTAAAATTCTTCATTTAAAATACTAAAAACTTACAAAACAATACATTGAAACAAAGACGAATTGGAAACAGGTTGAACTGCCATATTCTGAAAATGATATCCATTTCCAATGAAAACTTTAACGAGATAATAACTCAAATCATTCAAATTGGAGAGTGCTTGAATACAAAAACACAGCTTTAGTGCTTTTGAACAAAGAAATCCTTTAATTGCATTTATTTATAGAATTTATAAATTTGTTATTTTAAAATAAAAATGAAGTAAATTCAAATATACTTACGCATCCGTAAAAATTGGTTTCCGCTTCTTTTTTTTCTCAGCAATTGGACGACCTTCATCATCAACAATAAAATCATCCGCATCCGAATCTGAATCTTCTTCTTCCTCTTCAAAATTTTCAGGTTCTCTATGACTATGCTCTGAACGCCTTTCAACATTCTGTTTAAAATTGTTTGGAATTTTTGATTTAGTATTTTTTAAAGTTTAATGTGTTATAAAAATAATACCTCATCGTCGTCAAACAATTGCTCTGCAATAGCTTCTCTAGCTAGACCTTCATCGACATTATCTTCCTCTCCATCACTTTCTTCATCTTGTATACGTCTCAAGCGTTTAAAACGTTTCTACAAAAATTAATTGTTTCAGTAAATAAATAATAAATTTTTACATCTGGTTAATATTTCTGGTACAACTAAAAAGTGCATACGTCAATTATTTATGATTGCACTGTATGGTGAGAAGTCACGAGAACAATATATACAGCTGCGTTCAAAAAAATAGGAGTGAGACTTAAAAATAATTTTACAAAGAAACATTTAAAGAAATCCAATATTTTTTCACGATATTTATTTGTTAAGTGTTTAAAATACAAATCGAATGAAATTTTTTATATAGGTTCATTAGTTTTTTTGGTATTCACTTTTTTCGAAATCCATATCAGATTTCGACTGTTCAAAAAAAAAAATAGGAGTACCGTATATTATATAACCTAAGTTAAATTAATTTCCATTATTCCTAGTAAATATTAAAAATATAGTATGTTTAAATGATTTTGAGTAATTTTATGCTCAGTTCAGCGCTTCCCATAAGCGCTTATCATTTTTTTAAAATTAATCCCATTAGGGCGTCCCAAATTAGTGAAACTAAGACAAATTGTAGTTATTAAACATCGTGATCAATATTCAGTTAGTTCAGATCAATTTTTAAACAAATCTTTTTTGAAAACATATAATTTCAGACCATAAAGCATATAGTGAAACCCATAAAGTTTACAAGTAACGCATTTAGAGGTGGTTTCATACATTGATGAATTTTTAATGCATGAATACGACAACAAATTAAATTTTTTAATCAATGAATTCAGAAAATATATTGGAAGTCCATTAATCGAAAAATATTAAGCTCTAACCAACTTTCAAAGAAGTCGTATAATAGGAATGATTCACGATGGGTCTTGACAAAAAGGGTATGGTCTAAAAAATTGTAAAATGGTATCGTAGACCAAATGTTGTAGGTAAACATATTACCCCAAGATATGTTATCATATTCCCAATAAACAAATCAAGCCCCACAAAACCGTTGTCGGAAAGACATTAAGTTCCGGAGGCTCATATACCCAAATTCTAAATAAAATCCTGACAAAAATGACTGATGTTGTACTGCTACACATTAATTAATAATATTTTAGATGAAATTCCCTTCGTTTTTGTTTTTATTTTAAAAATATTTGAACTTAAATCGAATACTCCTATTATTTTGAACAACAGATTTTTTATGTAAATTTAAAAAAATATATATTTTTTTAAATAAATTTCTTAAATATTTAAAATAACGACTATAAAAATTAGAAAACAAGTTAAATAAATAAATTGTAAAAATATTTAATTAAAAATCTAAATCTTTCAGTAAAAAATTTATATTTAAAATTTTTGAAATGTTCCCTCCTATTATTTTGAACGCAACTGTACATATGCATGTAAATATTTTATAATTTGAAGGAAATCTGCGAACGTTGTTAGAACTGTATGCAATAAAATTGTGTTAGGTTTCAAAAAATTGTAACATACATATGTTTATATAGTGTAATAAGAGCGTAGATAAACTTTAAAAAATGGGTTCAGACAGAACATTAAGTGGATTGGTCGGAAGATATCTTATAACCTTAGTAAATATATTTATCGATCATTGCATTAACAACTAAATGCGAGGGTATCAATGAGGTAAAGTTTATAAAGCATTCCTAGTTTTAATAGAGTTATTCCATTATTTAATATTTCAATCGGCAAAATATTTTTCAACGATTGATCGTATCATTTAAACGTATGTATTTAAATTTTCACCTTTTCATCAGGTATCGCAAATAATGATTATTGATAAAATTTTAATAGAAAAACTCATACTAATAGAAAATAAAACGTTTAACAAAACTTACCCTCCTTTCAACTTTTACACCTAAATTTTCTTCAATTAAATCATAATCATCATCTTCTAACCGATCATCCAAATCGTCATCGTCTTCATGTTTTTTTCTTTTTTTGGAAGAGTTTGATACATCGGAATCCTCCCCATCACTTCCTTCTTCTATGGGATTGTCATCAATTAAGTCCTTAAGTTCTTCGCGTAATCGTTCATCATCGTCTAAAATTAAATTTTAATTTGATGATAAAATAAACCTATGCAAGTAAAAATTTGCAAGAAAATAAAATCAATTTACTTCTTAGAACATACGCTATAACACAATGACACTACATTCGTAAAATAATTTTTTCTATTCTTTTATGTATAATGTATCTTCTATATTGTACACCCTACTTACGCTTTAAATCCTTTAACGTACAAAGTTATTAAATTTTGATTAACAAGTACATAACTAAATCTGTGGCAAAAAATTTATTAAATTTTGATTAACAAGTACATAACTAAATCTGTGGCAAAAAATAAAAAGAATATATATCTCAAGATATGAAAAAAATCATGTTTTCGCATTTTTTAAATCTCCGTACTCAATTCTATATTGTTTCAATTTTTCATAAATATTGGATCAGAACTTTTGAAAATATCGAAATTTTTATATGTATTTTACTATAGTTTTTTATTAGATTTTAAAACTTTAAAACTTTTTCCTTAAAACTGCAAAAAAAACAACTTTGTACTTTTGCTTTTTTACCACAGAAATATGTACAAAGAGCTTTGTAATTTTTTAACAGAGCTTCGAATTAATCAATTCAATTTGAGCTTAATTCACCAAAATCTTAATTCAGAAATAGAAAGTTTAATCTTCCAGTCCTTTTTTTAATTCTCAGGAATTAATTCAATAGCTTAATTCAAAGGCTTTCAGTTTATTTTAATTCATTCATATACTGAATTCATTCATGTTTGAATTACATTCTGCTTTGAATGATTCAATTTTTCTTTAATTTAAATCTACTCCAAATTGAATTACGAAATTTTTCTTAAATTCAATTTGTAGTAGACTGAATGAAAACCCTTTTCTTTGCAGCCACAGTGTTGTATCTCAAAAAGTAAAATTTCAACTTAAAAGGTTTATAAATTTTTATCTCTATATAAAAGAGTGTATGCGTATAAGTTTTAAATAACATATTTTACAGTTGACATTTGTAAGTTTGTATAATAAGAATGATAATTCTGACTAATAATAAACACAAGTTCTGTCCACAAGAAAATTTTTCTATTTTTTAGTTATAACACTATTGCTGTAAATAAAGATATTTAATATTTATGTACAATATACAAACAAACATACATACATAGTATGTGACCATGAGTTTAATCATAAATAAAACATAACAAGTCCGTTAAAGTTTTATTAGAACAGAATCGGTTCCTAACACAAAAGAATCATCCACGGAACGCCTTTGGTAGTGCTAGCTTTTCCTTTTGAATAATGTACTTTTTAACTTCGAGGAACTCTGATTAATCATAGTATTTAAGTATTGTATTGTTTTTACTGCAGCATACGTTTAACAGAACTTCTGTAAGTTTTCATTATAATTCCATTCATATCCAATACATAGTACATTTGAAAATTTAAATTACAAAAAAAAAAAAAAAAAAATTAATTTATTTGACAAATATTAAATTATATATGTATATTAGGATTGTTCAAATAAATGTTTAATTTGAAAATAGTTCTCAAATAATATATCATTTGTTATATTTGGTTTCGTATAACATTTCTTGTTCGCTTTTGCCTAGGAACCACATAATTTTTATCACCGATGGATTCATCAGATGAAAATTCTAATTCACTCATGATTTAAAATTTATTTCAAACTAGCTATACCCAGTGTGCTTTGCTACCCTAAAAGGAATATGTATAAATAAGTACCAGATTTATTATATGTTACATATGAAAGATGTCAAGCAAATTATTGCAAGTCCGCCAGTTTCTATCTATCGCCAATTTCTATCTATATATAAAAAATTTGAATAATATAAGAGTTTCCAAGATGCACGAAATTTTGTATTTAATTCATATACATATGTTGTGCCAAGCCACCCATTGAAAGTCCGCCCGTTATGCTCTAAATGTTCACATGAATTTCAAAGTTCTCCATGTAAAATTTGAAGATTCTAGCTCTAATAGTTTCTCAGATATACGAATTTTTCTATTTGATTCATGTGGGGGCTTCAAGTTTTTCGTGCAAAATTTGAAGATTCTAACTGTAATAGTTTCCAAGATAAACGTATTTTCGTATTTAATTTATATGGGAGGTGCCACGCCCCCTAATGATAGTCCGCCTACTTTTTGTCCTAAATAATTATATTGACACTAAAGTTGCTCCGACATAATTTGAGGACTCTAACTGTTATATTATCTAAAATATACGGATTTAATATTTTCTTAATATAGGCGTGGCTCCTTGCTAACTTGGAATTTCAAAATAAAAAGTAGGCTATTACCTATTCCAGACATACAGGAATACGCTGTGAAAATTTAAATAAAATCGGTACAAACAAACACACATTTATTTATATATATATAGATTTCGAATGGAAATTCTATTTCGAAAATATTATTAAAAGACACACAAAAATAACGTTTAAAAAACTTTATAAATAATATGTTTCGAATAAGATTTGTCATTTATGTAAAATTAAATAGGGGCTATATTTATTTTAGTTTAATTTCATCTATAATGTAGTGCTTGTTTTTTGTTTAACCATATTTAATTAGCTAAAATTAAAATAAAAAAATTGTATTTGTAAAATACTAAATAAAATTACTAAAAACAAAAGACCCCCTAATGTATATAAATTTTTATTTAAAAATTTTCATTAATCCCCTACAAAATGAATGAAGAAAAAACGATTAAAGCTATTTTGTAATAGATTTGAATTCGAAAAAATTTAAATCATTCAGCAAGGAATTAAGCCTTTAAAGAATGAATTATACAAATAATGAATTCAACATTTTTAAAGTCCTAAGGAATTCAGCTTATGAATTAATTCGAATGAATGATTTTATAGAATGGTGAATTAATAAATTTTAATTTATTATTATATATTATCATATATGAAGTTATTTACACACACATATGTATGTACACATAAGCAATTCATTTTTGTAGTCAGCCTCTTATGTATTAATGAAATTATCTGTAATATTGATTTAAGTTGCCTATTTTAACATATGCTAGTCTACCAACTATATATGACCCTATGGGCTCGGTTGGTTTTTCGTAAATAAATAAATAAATAAATAATTTGATTTAAAAAATTGAATTAAAGCTTAACAATTTTAAACCTTTGTTTTTTAATAACCATACATAGAAAATTGTATGTTCTTTGTTGAATTAAAATATACATTATTATTGTATGTTATAATTAAAAGTATTAAATGAAGTGTAAACATACCTTCTTCTTCCTCTTCACTGCTATCTGCCATTGCTTTTAATTTTTTCAGTTTCTTTTTTTCGTGCACTTCCAGCTCTTCCTCCTCCTGCAAAGACAATTGTTAAATTGGTAAAATTAATATTAGCATTAGTTTCTAGTAATGTTTATAGATAGTAAGTAGGTTTGTAGTACGTACAATTTCATACATGAAAAATTCTTAAAATATAAAAATGAAAAAAAAAAAAAAAAAAAAAATGGATTAGTATTTATTTCGACAAATATCTTGCTTTGAATTTTTATTTTGGAGCACTTGCGACAGAGCAAATATAAATGGTGACAACCAAAAATTTGAAAATCGACTTTTTGATTGAAAATGGTGCACTACATTGAAATAAATGTTGTTTTAAATTTTTAGAATTTTATTGTCAAAAAAAAAAAACAATTTTATCAACATGAAATTCAAAAGGAGGTAACAACAAATTATCCATCTATCAATAAAATTATTTATGGGTATCATTATAAATTTTGGTAAAGGGATTTACGTCTTCATTAAAGTTATTTATGCAGAATTTCTTAATTTGACCTAAACACTAATATTACTAGTGTTTAGGTCACGATCATAACGAAAATCGCCAGTATCACTTACATACATATATGTAGGCTGACTTTCAAAACGTCAGTTGCTTTGTGTACGAACAAGAGAGTGTGTTGCATAACGCCGCAGTACAAAACATTGACAATGCATACTGTTTCAAAACGTCATCGACAAGTATTACAAACGCAGCGAAAAGGATGCTTGTTAAAATTATTTGCTAAAACTACACAAACTCCTGACTTACTAAAAACAAAACATTGCATCTTCTACATTTTAGAACGCGAAAATAAACAAAGCATCGTTCCAATGTTTTGAAACTTTACATGCGTACTTTAAATACCGCAGTGAAATTGTGTTTAAACTTTGTATTGGTACATTTTCGGAGTCAGCCGTATATATAACTAAGATTTGCGGTTTCTATAGAGATTCTAGAACATTTAACATAATTATGAGTTTTGGGGGGTAAATAATGGACCGATTTAACCATTTTCAATTGCGATCTGTGGCGTGTGCACAAGGTTTACATGTACACACAGATGGACTGGTACTCAGAAAGTGATTCAGAGCCAATTGGTATACTTTAAACGCATTATACCCTCCCCAAACGTAACATTTTTTAATTTAATTTTTAAAGCATAGTCTAATCTGGTTTACTACCACAAGTAATACGATAGTCTAAACGCAATATGTAATGAAACCATTACACATTGTGAGAAAATACGAATGAAAAATTTGATAGTCTCATGGCTCCTTAATTTTTTGAAATGATTCAAAAAACAATCAAGTTTCATTATATCAGAGATATATTTTTATGTAAACACATAAAAAAGAAACAGTTGTTTCCATCCTACTTTGTTATTGTCTTATCAATAGTGTATTGAAATATTGCTCGAAATTTGACCTAAAAATCGGTGGATTGCCATTATTTATAAGTGAATCTAAAACTTTTTCGGCTCGAAATTTTCTCAAAAACTAGTTTAGTTTAAAAGGGTTGTATATCAATGTATACATCCACTCGGAGACCCAATGGTCCATTGTGAATCCCTTTAATAAAGAACAAGGAGAAAACAGAAGAAAACAGAAGAAAGGAGAGATGAGAAGAGTGAGATTTTCCCTCCAAAAAGAGAACAGAAAAAAGAAGTGGTCATGGAAGGGAAATCCTTAATTGTCTATTAACTGAAAATCCAAAAAGTTCCCCTAATGAAGCCCATAATGTCGCCTAGGTTACACCCTGCTACATCTCCTAGTTCATCGTGGAATCCTTTACCTAGCCATTTCAGTCTCAGACTCTGTAATCTGGGACAGTGGCATAAAATATGCTCTACTGTCTCCAGTTCTTCTTCGTCCTCACACAACCTGCAAAAATCCTGTGTGTTACCGACCCCATTACCCCTAAAGGCTCCAATTGAGCAGTGTCCGGTTATTACCCCTACTAAAATCCTTGTACTCTTCCTGTCCAATCCTAATAGCATTCTGGTTGCTTTTGGATTTAACTTCGGCCATAGTGTCCTAGAAACCCTACAATCCAGTCTACTGTACCAGGATTGGTTGGTGTTTTTTTTGAAATATTCGGAAATTAGCCTATAGTAATGACAAATGGGGGGTTTTACCGAACTGACTCTTCTATCGAGCTCCAGATCCGAGCCCTGTCGGGCCAATTCATCTGCAATCTCATTACCCTGTATGTCACAGTGTCCCGGCACCCAACACAGCCTGAGTGTGTATAACCTGACTAACCCTTCCAGGTCCCTTTTGCAGCTGTTTACCAAGCTAGAATGTAACGTTTTACACTGCAAAGCTTTAAGAGCTGCCTGACTATCAACATAAATCGTCACTTCCGACCCCCTAGTAATGTGTGTCTTAATAATATCCACGGATTTCCATATAGCCAGGATTTCCGCTTGAAAAACGCTACATTCGTCCGGAAGTCTGTAGGACACTCTTATATTGTTGTCTACCAAATAAACCCCGGCACCTGTGCCAGAGTCCATTCCAAGACAATTTTTGGTCGAGGAAGGTCCCTAGATACTTGGCTCCTTCCGATAATTTCAGTTCAACGCCGTTTAATCTCGGCAAGCTAAAACTCTCAACTTTATATTTCCTAGTGAAAAGTACTAGCTCCGTCTTAGATGGATTCACACCCAACCCATTCCTGTTTGCCCAGGTTGATAGATCACTTAGTGCTGACTGCATGACCTTACTTATTGTCGGGAGAAATTTACCTTTGACCAGTAGCACCACGTCATCCGCATAAGCGACTATCTTCCTACCTTTAGATTCAAAGATCCTTAGGATAGAGTTGACCGCCAGTAACCATAGTAGAGGAGATAACACTCCTCCTTGTGGTGTACCCCTGGTAACTCGTTTGCGAATCCTATCATCCCCTAAGGTTGAGTTGATAATTCTGCTATCAAGCATCGATACTATCCAACTCACTAGGAAATCCTGAACTCCGAGTACGACTAACGACTCTCTGATGGCCTCTATTCTAATGTTGTTAAAGGCGCCCTCTATGTCCAAAAACGCGGCTAGAGTATATTCCCTATGCTCTAAACCGTGCTCAATACAACCAACCACCTCATGTAACGCACTCTCAACCGACTTACCCTTTAGGTAGGCATGTTGAGCGTTGCTAATAAGACGGGTATCTATATTGCTCCTGAGATAAAGATCTATCAGACGTTCTAAAGTCTTCAGTATAAAAGACGATAGGCTGATAGGCCTGAAATCCTTAGGTTTCGAGTGGCATGCCCTACCGGCCTTAGGAATAAAGATTACCCTAACCTCTCTCCACCTTCTAGGAAGGTATCACGTGAGGAGACACCTCTTGAAAATATCAGCTAGAAGTGCCAATGCGTCTTCAGGAATATTACAGAGCATGGCCGGAAAAACACCATCCGGACCCGGTGATTTATATGGGTCAAAAGTGTTCACCGCCCAGCCCAATTTGTCCCTAGTGACTATTTCATCAATATGACCAGATGAATAACTAGAAGCCCCAGGTCCTTGGACCCCCTGACTTAAGTCCCTATCATCTATATCAGCACAACCTTCCCAGGTTGAGTTTCCATAAGCAAAGAGAGTGTCTCTGAGCTGGACTCCGTCCACGAGTTGTCTTCACGCTGAATGTAACCTAAGGCCTTGGGGTCTTTGGCTAAAATTCTACGGAACCTAGACATCTCATTTACGTTGCCAACAGATTCACAGTAGTTCCTCCATGATATCTGTTTTGCTCTTTTGATCTCTCCCTTATACTTATTGAAACTCACTTTGTAGTTGTTCCAATCTTCTGGAAGTCTAGTAAGCTTTGCCTTATTAAACAACCTTCTAACCGTCGACCTTTGATCACGTAGTTCCCTGGTCCACCACTTAGGTTGCTTATGCCTACCCGGAAATCTCAACGGGCAGGATAGCTCATAGCTCTCCGTTAACACACTGGTAAATTTGTCTACAACCTTATCCAATTCGAGGGACCGCAGAACATTTATATCCATCTGCGAAAATCCTGACCGGACCCTGTTGTAGAATTTTAACCAGTCGGTTTTCCTACGATCCCTAAAGGGTTCCTGCTTGGATTTACTCAAATTCACTGTGAAGGTAATCCGGCTATGGTCAGAGAACGAATAGTCGGTATGTACTTTCCAATCCCTAATAAGATTCTGAAAAACTAATTTTATATAAAATTTAACAATATTAAGTAATTTCTTTCATTATCTGTTAATTTTATTAAAAAATTTTGAATGGGTCCCCTGAATCAGCTGTGAGGAACCATACGGTAAATTTAACGGTGAAAAAGATCGTTATCGTAAAAAACAAACTAAAAAGTATATTTTTATATTAAAAACTTCATTTATAATAAAAATGTTCAAAATTAAATACAAAAACGCCTTTTATGATATCTTAGCTATGTCCCCTTTGAAATCCTATATATCGTCTCTATTATTTTTTCCAATGCCAAATTTTTAGAATACCAATAAGATACGATACGCAAAAAAATCTATAAAATTGATATATCATATGAAAGAAGAGTTAAATACCTTTTATTTTAGATACTAATCATCAAATTCTAAAGCATAGTTTTTTAGAAAATTTTGTAAAGTCCTTTATTATTATTTTTTCCACCACTGTATATGTATGTATTCGAAATATTCATTAATGCTAATTTTACTTCTGAACTTTTAAATGTGTTATAAAAATAAAAAATAAAATATAAAAATTAGATGTTATCACAAAAAGATATGTTTGCATGATAACTAGAAATATAAGCTAACAAATCTATGACAAAATTTTTAAAAAGTTCATAGTTCAATATGTTAAAAATATATGAAAAAATTAAACTCTTAAATTAATTTTCGTAGAAAAAACGGAAGTTTTTCTAAAAAGTAAAAGAAATCCTATGTCAAAATAATAGCAGGTGATAGATTTGAAAATGTGTACAAAGTAAAAAAATATTTCTCTTTGGGGAGTCAAACCACTCCTCCCATTTAATTCACCAAATTTTGGCAACTCCCTGGAAAAATATGTAGATTAACATGCCTGGTCCACACTGTTCCAAAAGCCATATTTGTTGGTTGGTTTGATTTCAGATACCTCCCTAATTACATCACCATACAAATTTTCGATTGTCTCCTTTACACCGTCTCTATTGCCCAGAATTCAGTTTTTGGCTCTTTACGGGTATTATTGTTACATGACCAAATCAGTAGAATTTCGTCAGACATATACATTTGGAGGCATAATTTGCATTAGGATATTAATATGAACATTTATTCCAATGCTTCTATTATAGTTACAATATATCCTGCAGGAAATTGAACTAGTACCAAAGTAGTACTTTACTATTACCAAAATCAACAGTACTAGTTCCCAACTGTAAACATTCCTATACCATCTTAATGCTCAAATTAACATTGAGTGTGTTTGAAAAATTACTAGTACCATAAGTTCTGGCCTTATACTATTACACTTAGACCCAATTGGGTCCTTTAGAACCAGTTAATTACTAGTTCTAATGTTCACAAAAAGTCACCGTAATTAGTTGATTTTGCTCCTTTGTAATCCTCCTGCAAGGTTCCAAGTAATAATTACTACAAAATTGGTTTTTATATTGTTTTGTTTATAAAAATTCAATTCAAATAAAACATTTTGTAAATACATTTATACAAGTTTGAAGAAATTCTGGTTTCTATCCGCCCCACCGTGGGTTATATATACATATAATGTCTACCAAATTGCATTCAGGTATTGCCTTAAATACATTTGCGATAATATACATTGACTTTGAAAATATGTTGTACATATTTATAAAATAAGGAAACATTAGATAATTTTATATAAAATATATTTTGGATTTAATGCCCATGCCAAGGCAAGTAAAATAGGTATCATGTTTGAAATTTAAATTAAATCTAAAATATATATGTACCTACCTAATTTACCTACAAAATATACATATCGTCACCTGAAACGCAAACGGCCCTAACTAACCAAAAATTCAAATCGATTTTATAGTTGATTTTAATGTATTGCATCAAAACAAATGTCCACACCAAAAATTGGACTCCTTCGACCATAATTATCGACTTTATTGACAAAAAACAAAAGTCCCTATCTACAAAAATATTTTAATATTAATGGTAAAAAGTCCAATTTATCCATTTTTATATACGCCATATTTAACTATCATAACAAATGGTAGGTTTCACTATTAAACAATTTGTTTATTTACTACAAATAAATCGCGTTGATAGAAACAAACTTTTCAATTTTAATAGTTTTTTGCATCTCCTGTAAAATTTTGAAAAATGTTAGATGGGGCCTTTTGCGTTTTAGGTGACGATATGTACATACATAGGTATGTACAGTAGCAGTCATTAGTATCCGTGTCATTGTACCAAGTATCCTTAACATGTCAACATTCACAATTATATACATATTATATACATCTACACATCGTAAATACATACATACATGCATTTAATTCAAATAATTTTAGCCAAAACATTAGCTAAAAATGCATTTAAAGAAAATATTAATATGGATTTGCACGTGATAAAATCAATAGTTGTATTGACAATGTAAATTATAAGATACATTTTGCGTATGGCATTTGCATTTCATTTTTAGATATGTTTATATCACATATGTATGGATTTCGATACATTCATGTTGTATATTATATAAACATATTACAAATTCTTAACATTCTACCGATGTTTAATGAGTTTTTATCAAAATCTATGAACACAAAAAATATTTTATGAAATAGTAAAGCACAATGATAACATTTTCACCATGGAAAAAAATCGATGTATTTGTCAGCACAGCAAAATAAAATGCTTTTTTTATTTACTTATACACAATAATTATTACCTCGGATTCCTCAGCTTCAGAGTCTAAGAAATCAGCCATTTTTCCCCTTTAAAAATAACTCAAACGTTTTCTGCAGATGCGATGTAAATTTAAACACATTAAATGATAGAAATATACTTTTAATAACCCATCCAATTTGTATTTGATTTTGTACATACTATAAATAATCGATAACATGCAACGTTTTCCGATAAGTATTTGGGAAGACATCGACCGAGGGTCGAACAAAATTTTTAAAAAATATAGCTGATATATGTCTTAAAATATGAATATTATAGGTTTTATTTGTTATTAAAAACGAAGTTGCCCAACATCAAGTGATAATAAAAAACTGCAATTAATGTTAGTGAAAAATGTATGATCAGATCATCGAAATAGTTTCAAAATGAATTTGTTTATCATAACAATAATAAGTTAGGGGAATTCGTATTTATATACATATTACAACAGAGGATGTTAGACAAAATATTGAAAATATACTAGGTACTTACAGTTCAAGCAAAAAGTCGTTATTAAGGCTGTGACGTTCCGTTGACTGTTTATGTGTAGTTAGTTTCTATGTAAGAACGTAGCAGCTGTTTTTAAGAATACAAAAAAACAACTCTGATTTGTTGCGTCAAAAATCAGAGTTGATTTTTTTCTTTGTGTTTAAAGCTAGATTAATTAATATAAATTAATTAATTTATTACATAATTAATTAATTTAAAATTTAAAAATTAATATAAAAAGTAAAAATTTTATCGAAAATGATTTTTTATATTCTTTCTTGGTGTTTTCTTTTTTTTTTCTTTGACATATTTCAGAGTTTTTTCTCTCTTACTTTTTAATTCTCAATTTTTTTCGAGTACGAGAAACTCCTTACCGAGAGAGAGATGATTGATATTTCTCGTTCTCACACACAAAATCAAAATTCCCCTTGTGTAGAGATCCAGTTATTCGTTTTTGACCAAATTCTATTATTTTATTTTGATATTTGACGAAAAAGCTAACTTCTTTTAATTGTTCATTAAAAATGTAAATATATAAATTAATTTATTAAATGTCCATATTTTAAAAAGTGTTTTTTTTTTGGTATGGTTTTTTTTTTAATTCGAAATGAAATGTGATTTTTCCAATGAAAACATTAAATATAAATGAATAGCTCATGGTTGTATTTATTTATCTAAGACATATTGTTCGAAAAAATACATTTTCGACATGATTTAAATCAAATCTAGGAGATTAAATGGATTTAAATCTGTCAAAAATGTATGGGAAATCTATATGATTTCAACTCTTTTTACCCAAAACAACTAGATTTGTTTAAAACTCCTCAGTGAAAAAATTATATAAATGTTTTGTGCGAACCTAAACTACAAGAGTGTTGTAAAAATATTTTAGAATAATTTACCATTTCTGATCTATAAGTGCTGGTCCACACACAAAAACTTTAGTTGAGAAACTTTTTCTTAATTCTCTTTTAAAGTTTCCTTAAGCCCATGTCTATATTAGACAAATATTTATCATGATACTTGACAAAACGTCGGCAGAAAAATTGTCAGTTTTTTGTTTAATGCATAGGGGTAACAAAATGCTGATTTTATCACGACAACTCACAGATAATTTTATTGAAATAATGCTATATTTTATAAAAACAATTAAAATAAATGCAAGTTTTGTAAATAAACATTAATTTCACTAAAACTTATGTTAAAAATCAATTTTAATTGCACAAAAACAAAATTCTAAAAAAATATAAAATGACGTTTGTTATCAAGACAACGTTGTCTAAACAATTGTTTAGACAACGTGTTTAGACAGTGTTGTCTAAACAATTGTTTTGACAACACTGTCATAACGGGGTTATAACGCTAATAAATGCTATCTGTACCTGCTAATTTTTTATCATGCTAACAATTTGACGTTTAGCATAATAAATATTTGTCTAATATAGACACGGGGTAATGTCTACACATAGAAACTTTTGTTTCAGAAACTACGTGTTAATTGAATTGATTTGTTTGTTTGGGTGAAACAAAATCCCAATGATTTTGTACTCAGTACAATTTTATAAATGGAAAAAGAACAAAAAGAAATAAAACAATAGAATTAGGATTTTTTCTATGTTGGTTGTTTATTAAACTGTTGGACAAAGGATTACTTACCAAGTATAGGTGGACTGTCTTGTTAGGAGTTAGAATTTGATCTGGCGCAAATAAGCATTTGTGACATATACGAACTATGACATTTCTTTTAGAACATTATGACAAGTAATTGTACACTGCAACACATAGCAATCAGCATTTGTATATGTAATAATTAATTAGGGTTTGCAGGGAAAAATAGGAAATCAAAGAAAATAGCTATATGTTGTTTTTTGGCGTAAACATTGTTTTTGTACGAATGAGAAGAATAACAAAACAAAACGAGATTCCGAGTACGAGAAACTCCGTACCGAGAGAGAGAGATGAATGATATTTATTTCTCTTTCTCTCTCATGCAAAATCAAAAGTTACCCAAAAAAAAGTTTCCTAGTGTAGACGGGCACTAATTAAATGTTTAATAAAAGCTACACATAACTGATTTTGCTTCAAGCATTTTGAAGCAAAATATGTTTAAATTTGAAATTTTTATTGCACATAACTGATGTTATTCGTAAAGCTTGTACTTTATATGATCAAATACCATGAGAATTTCTAAACAAATATATGTATATGCACAAATATCTAAACAAACAAATTGCACAGGTTTCCGGTGATACTCTTAAAACTGATTTAGACTGTAGAATTTGTCATGCGCAAGTTTTAGTTCTTTATGAGAGAGCAAAATTGTCCAGTCTTAATCAAACATTTGTTGAAATTTATTCAAAAAACAAAGAAAATGCTGTCTGTATATGTTATTTTTTTTTTGTCATGATAACAATTTGACGTTTAGCATAATAAATATTTGTCTAATATAGACAGGGGTAAATAATTGCTTAGACAACACTGTCATAACGTGCTATAATGCTAATAAATGCTGTTTGTACCTGCTAATTTTTTTTATCATGATAACAATTTTGCTTTTTGCATAATAAATATTTGTCTTATATAGACACGAGGTAATATAATTTTATTTTCAACATAAAGTGGTACGTAAAGAGTTATCACGTGAAGGGCCCTTTATGTCACAAACCACAGAAAATTCCCTATTTCTAGATTAGATAAATTTTTATTTTTTTATTTCATTGTTTAGATGACTTTGTCTTTATAAAAACATTATTTATTTGTAAAATTGCATAGAATTTAGGTTTTGTGCAATAAAAATTGATTTTTAATATAATTTTATTGAAATTAGTGCTTATTTACAAAATTTGCATTTAATTTTAAATGTTTTTATTAAATATAGCATTATTTAAACGAATAAATATTTTATCCATGAATCTATAAGACGAACCATAAAGTCTTATAGACTCATGGATAAAATATTTATTTGTTTTAGAACATTTTAAGAATTCTGGCTTCGATTTGTTAGCACATATTTTTGCATATTATACCCATTAGAGCATATTTTTGCGTAATCTGATTTTAATAGCATATTATAGATATTTTCGAGCTCTTTAGATCATATTTTGCGTTTTACTACTTTATTTTAGTGTATTTTTAAATTTTTCATAATTATTTTTTTTAAATTTTGCAAAAAAAATTTTATCATAATTTTTCAATTTGTAATTTGTTTTACAATTTGTAATTTGTTTTTATATGCCTACTGTATTTTTTTATATAAATTTTGTTTTAGTTTAATTCTTGCCCAAGTTTAATCTACCTCCGTTAATGTGGGCTTTACACTATGAGACTGTACGTATTAAAAATCAAATGAAATTTCATCCGTATTTAATAAAAGAGAATTAAATACGTGAGAGCGTTTATACTATGGTGTAACTCAATAACAAAGTTAAATTGAAACAGGTGTTAAATTTTTTTGTATGTGTTCACCTGAAAATACATCCCTGATCTAATTAAACTTCCTTGCTTTTTGAATAATTTCAAAACATGAAGAGAGCCATACAACTGTCAAATTTTTCATTCGTATTCTCTCTCATGTGTGATGACTTTGTTCTCTTCTTGTAGTAAACGAAATTATTTAATCGAGTACTCAAAAACAATCTTCATAGAATAATTTTTACGTAATGGCTGATTTTTAACTTGAAAATTTGCTCTAAAAGTTTTTGGTAGATGTCGATGGCTAAAACTACGTTCACACCTTCGTGTTTTGTGAAACACATCATGTTTCTTCAAAAAAACACTTCAAAGTCGACTCGTTTTTTCATACATTTTTCATGTTCAAAAACATCTCAATTCGACGAGTTTAATTATAAAACACATAATGTTTTTAGAACAGGAATTAATTTTTTCGTACTTTTGTTAAAAAAAATAAACATTGGAAACAAAAAATATTAATTTTGGTTTTGAAAAGATATTAAATTTGTTATAAATTAATATAAATGTGTTTAAATATTAAATTCAGTGTAATTTAAGTGAAAATCTTAGTTTTTAAAATTAAACTTTTAAGTGGGAATAACATTTCGCAGCAAAAAACACGATAATTTAATATGTGAACGCTTGTGTTTAATTAAACTCATTGTGTTTTTCAAGAAACACGTTAAAACCATGAATGTGAGAACTTAGTATAAAATTCACCACTAACAAATATTATTGTTACATTAGTTTTATGGTTTGTTTCTTTTGTATGAAGCAGTTAAAATATGGCAAAACTTTAGGGTAAGAACACTATGTATCTGAGTCACCCCTTGATTTAAATTTACTTCCTAGTTAATTTAATTGCATTTATTATTCCCATCACGAATTAAAGTGTACGCTAGGCTATGTTGAAAAGTAATCGTAAATAATTATCTAAGTGAAAAGTGATAAAGAAGTGATTTGTTCTAATAATGGAATACGTAAATAAATTTAGAAGCACATTTTGGTCAACTGATATATGGTTACCGCCAAATACAACTTGGGAAGATATTGCCCCTGGTTCTCGTCCAGACATAAATCATGCTGATTACACAGATCTTATATGGCCTCTACCTTTGGCCCTTCTAGTCATGTTAACAAGATATTCACTTGAAAGGTAGGTATTTCTAATACATTTTTTTATATATATAAATAAATTGTAATAAATTTATAAATACACAATATCTAAT